ACGACGAGTTGGAATCTAAGGTACACAACACCTCATTTCTTCCAGATGAACTACACACCGACAGAGTGAATGAAACACTGATAGTTAGTTTTGGAACTAAGAATAAGATAACAGAATGGGAAGAACTACAATACTATACAGCGCTCCTCTGATAGGTTGGAGGAAAGCAATTCGAGAAGCACATAACTGACTCCTTCAATGGGGGCTCAGTCTATACCGCAATCCACTCCCCCACAAAAAGCCTAAACTCATATTTGTTTACACCAACATACAGACTATAGTGCCCAAGTTAAATTGACTGAATGCACACAAGATAACTTTTCCCTCGACGTTAACTCTTTGACAGAAACTTAATGGTCTGAGAACATGGAGGATCACGAATAGACACTTCCAGGATTTCAGTTGTTTCGAAGCGTGTGAGCGCCCAGCAACGTAAAAGATGGACCACTTGTGTCAGCAACAAAAAACAGAAAAGGGTAGGCGTTCATTGTAGGGCCGTCCAGTGGCAAAATCCTCCCAGTCAAAGTGTCTTATGGGATTTGTGGTTAAAAGTTTAATACTTGATTAGTAAGCAGTTTATGTGTATTAACTACAAGATAAGTGCATAGCAGGAAATAAATTAAAGCCGCTTGCAATTGTTTAAGTGAACCGTAGAACAGTAGGCAAAAGGTTGTGGAAAGAACAAAAAGGCCACGAAACTGTAACAAAAACTCCCACTGGTTAGCAAAGAAAGTAGATAGACCAAGAAAACCATAATAACCACTCCTATTAACAGTTGCCCATGATTAATCAGTACCTCGAAAAGTTTTCATGCAGTACCGAAACTATCTCTCTAATTATAAAGGTGCCGGGATCATATAGATTTGAAGTTCTAACGGTCTGTTAACGACTATGATGATGCTCTTCTCTTAGAAGAAGTCAAGAGATTTGCTGTTCGGTCTGATGTCTTGATCATGTATGACTTCAATACACCGCTCATTGACTGGAGTTAAATATACGCATGCGTCCAGAACAAGCTTATGACCGACGTTTATTGCACACGACACTCAGGTCATTTCTCACTCAGCACGTCTTATTTTCAAAGGGGCGCGTGAGAGGATGCAGTCAAACTGCCTGGAAAACGTTGGTGGTGCGTGATTTCTGCCTACCGTATGTCTAATAGACCCAGCCGTACTGCAATGTGGTCATCCAACCTCCTCGGTATCTTCAGAGCCCACTAAAGTTAGAAGAAAGATTTGGCGTGGTGACGTCTGTAAAACGGTGGCCCGAATCTGCAAAATAAATTGAGAATCAGCTTTTTCGGGCAGTGCAATGGAGGATCGGGAATGGGTGCAAGGAGTTATTGCAAATTCTCATCAGAAACCACCACGTTATTTTACGGTGAGGCTCAATTATAGACCCAAGTGGTTGACTCAGGCATCAAAAAAGAGTACATAAAAAGCGGACATTGCGCAGGAAATCACCCCTGGAGAGAAATCCTGTGGACATAAGCGCATACAAAACACAGAAGAATCTATTCAAACAATGCATACTCAGAAGACGGAAAGATTTCGAAAAGACATACTGAACCGTGCGGTGGAAAATCCAAAGTTGTTCTACAGTTACATAAAAAGGAGCTAAAAAACAGAGACCCCACTCCTATGTAAGGCAAGCGAAGACCTAGGGATTAGTTGGGGATGGAGCAAAAGCTGGATACCTTTCACATTTTTTTAAAACATTTTTGCCGATGAAAGTGAATTTACTACTCTTGAAGACGACTATGAGAGAGGTCCAATGATTGCGACTGCATATTTTGCCTATGTGACTGTCCGCAAGGTGCTTTAGGCGCGAAATGAGTCGAAATCGCCAGGCCCAGATGACATACTACCCAAATTACTGAAGGTGCTCACAGCTAAACTAGCTAAACCGCTGCCCATCCTTTCCCAAGCATCATATGGCAAAACACATTCGTCTCCTTTCTACGCAGCAAAAACGGACAGGAACTCATATACAAGCTTAGACGTATAGGGGTAACAGGCAACTTTTTCCGATGGATCGAAAACTTTCTGACTGGTCGAACTGAGACCGTATGTCTTGGTGACCAGCGATCGGCGGAGGTTGCGATTGATAGTGGGGTCCCCCAGGGTTCAGTTCTGGGCCCTATCCTCTTCCTAATATATACCGACGACTGCATAAGTGGATTAGACTGCGAAACCGAAATGTTCGCCGACGAT